CAAGTACTCTCTCGCTTGCACTGACACAGCTTGCAGCAAAATGGCCGATCTGTCGGCGGCGTTCAAGCAGAGGTCGGGAAAACGCACCAGCTTTTTATCTCCCTTGGAGATTTCGTCCTCGAGGAAACGCACAACTTCCAGAGGGCGCTTCAGCGCTGCAGTCTTTGTGTGGAGCTTTAGCATTTCGTCTCTGATATACACCGCCTCCATGCGGCTGTTCACAGAGTACTGCCGGTAAAGCTCTCTCACACCCTCATATCCTGCAGCTGCATTGCTCTGGCGTGTCGAAACACTCCGGAGGATCTCCAATCCTCTGTCCCACTTTGCCAAAGCTTGCTGCAACAGGTAAAAAAGACGTGCACTTCTTCCCGCAGTGTCACTGGGCAAAGTAACCTGCTGGATCTCACCAGCAACAAACAAGCACTGCCTTAGCTCGCCAACAAAGGCGTCATCGGTCAATGCTAGCCAGCTGGACAGCACTTCCAGAAAGCGGTGGAACTCCTCAAGCTCGCGGATCCGGCCTTGCTTCATCTCACCAGCATTGATGAGAGGCAGGGGTGGCAGATACTTCTCTGCACGACCACCAAAACTCGAAAAGCTTCCAGAACTCGCAGCAGGCCCACTCGGAGGGGCAACAAGCGACCCAGTAGGCGCCGTCGGCGCTGCTCCAGAACTGCTAGCAGCCACTGCAGCTGCAAAGGGGTCCGAAGACACCTTTCGCCGATCCTCGTCGGCTTTCCGTCTGGCTTCTTCCTCGTCCAAACGGCGGTTCAAGAGGGTCAACTGAGCACTCTGAGCTTGCATCAGAAAGTTCATCTGATTCTGCTGTTGCTGTAAAGCCGTGTTCTGGTTGTTCAGCATCTGCAACATCAACTGCTGCAGTTGTTCACCTCCCAACGCAGGGTTCGGAGGAACCGGACACTGAGCAGGAGCTGCCGGCGCTACAGCCGGACCACTAACACCTTCTGGCACTGTTGCAGAACCACTCGCAGGTGCAGCCGCTGCTGCTTGCTGAGCTGTCGGCGACCCAACAGGACTGTTCACAGGTCCTACAGGTCCCACGTCCTGGTCCAAACAAGTCGAAGTCCATGCCTTCCTCAGGCACAGGGACGTTCTGAGCAGGAGTCTCACTACTCCCACCTGGCAAGGGAGGCCATGGCGCTGTAAAGCTCCTTCTAAGTCCTCAAGAGCTCCGCTACCATGTGAAAAACAGAGCGGCACTCGGTCTTTTTTCTTGAGCCAAAGCGGAGTCGCGTCGGGCTCTGACTGACAGTGAAACACCTTGCAGCTCTGTCTCCAAGCAAAACACCTCAAGCACTAACGAAACGAGACGAAACGAACGTGCAGTCACTTCCTAACTCAAAAGCACTCCTCACAGCTTCAGGCATGCCGAAAACATCAGGACATCCAAGGTCAAATGGGATTTTCACAAAAGTTTACGCAAACAGGAAAAGAGGCGAAAAAGGTTGGAAAAGAACAGAAGTGCATGCTTGGTTTTTGAAGCCAAGGCAGACCACGGCCTTGCAGGAAGCAAGACCACTTGCCTCGGTTGCTCTCTCTTTGCGTGGCATTGACAGTGACTCTCTCTTGTATAGCAGTGTCTCCGCCCCACAATCGATCGGAGCTGATTCAAAATCGAAAGGGTGTAGAGCCTACAGCCTCGGGTCAAAAACGAAAGATCGAGAGGGCTCAGGGCCGTAGGACGCAACGATCTTCGGCCCTTTAGGCCCAAAATTTTCCTCGTAATCGGAGCTTAACGATTGTGGACTCTCTCGCTTCCCTCACTCCGCTGACTTCGCTTTCGCGCCGCTCTCTCCGGCACTCAGCTTCACTCCACTCACTCGTCCGCTCGCTCCCTCGTTCGTTCCGCTCCGCTTCATTTGCTCCGCTCGCTCTGTCCGTTCCGCTTCGCTCTGCTCGGTCCGCTCGGGCCACAATCGTTCCGATTGGCTCGTCCCTGTTTTGGGCCTAAAGGGCCGAAGATCGTTGCGTCCTACGGCCCTGAGCCCTCTCGATCTTTCGTTTTCGACCCGAAGCTGTAGGCTCAACACCCTTTCGATTTTGAATCAGCTCCTGCGTAGACGATCGATTGTGGGGCGGCTTTTGTTCCAGTTTCAGGGCTGTGCGGGTTATCACTGAAAGTTGGAGGGTGTGGTGCACCTGTGGTGCACCTGTGGTGCACCTGTGGTGCACCTGTGGTGCACCTTCGGAGGTCGGAAGGTCGCGGTTTCAGGGCTGTGCGGGTTATCGCTGAAAGTTGGGGGGCGTGGTGGATCTGTGGTGCACCTGTGGTGCACCTGTGGTGGTGCACCTGTGGTGCACCCGTAGCGATGCCTTTCAGGTTGCGAAAACCAAACGGGACTTTTGATCCTGCGTCCTGAGTTCCGAGAAATGGACCGCCGCCGGAGCCGCCGCCGTAGCCGCCGCCGGATCTGCCGCCGGAGTCGCCGCCGGAGCCGCCGCCGTAGCCGCCGCCGGATCCGCCGCCGGATCCGCCGCCGGAGCCGCCGCCGGAGCCGCCGCCGTAGCCGCCGCCGGATCCGCCTGCGCACTCGAAGCCTAGTACGGGTGACCCTGACCCCTCACTTGGCTCTTCTGGTTTAGTCCCTCACCCCTTGCGTGACCCAAAGCCGCCCGCGGGAAACGAGCTTGGAGTAGGGTCAGGTCTGGTTACAGTTGGGGTTTATCGTAGTCCCGAAGTGTGGGTAAAAGAGGCCCTTAAGCTGCCGCATCCTATGGATTCAAACAATCCTTTGCATGAGGCCACCTTGACGGCCATAAAGGAAAATCTCACTTCGGAGGCTAAGGTGCTTAAGCTTAAGCAAAAGATTGCCTTGACAAAGATGGAGATACGGGCCAAGCAGCTTGAACCGCAGGAAAAGGCTCTGCATGAGTCAAAGCCGCCTTGGATGCAAAAAGTCCTTCGGGGAAAGCGCATTCTCTTGCTGCGTGATCTCTTGTCGCAGCATGGTTTCGACGACATGGGAGTCGTGGACCTAGTGAGCGACGGCTCACACCTGGTGGGGTCCGCTCCGAAGCCTGACTGCTTCGAGACCCGCATCAGACTTGCAAAGCTCTCGCCCGAGGCCCTGAGGGCAGCAGCCCCAGACTTGAGGCGTGCGATCCTTGCGAATCCCAGGAGAGTCTCGATGGAAGAGGCGCAGGAGCTGCGGAAGATCACTGATGAGGAGACGGCGGAGGGTTTCCTCTCGGGACCATTCGAGTCCGAGGAAGCGGTTTCCCGCCACCTTGGGACCCAGGATTGGGTGGCCGTGAGAAGGTTCCTCATTCAGCAATCTGACAAGAAGCGTCCCATAGATGACGGCCATGAAGCTCATCTTAACGATGCTTACGGGACGGCCATCCGTTTGAGGCTCCAAGACAGCGCTTATTTCACAGCCATGGCACTGGCTGTTGCAAGGATGCAAAGAGATTTGGGAGTGCACGTCCCTTGGAAGGTCAAATGCCTGGACTTGTCAAAAGCCTATAAACAATTTTGTGTAAGCGAGCGGGATAGGTGCGTTTCGGTTATAGTCATTTTCGACAAAAAGGGGAAGCCCACCTGGTATGTGGCGAACGCCTTAATGTTTGGCGCCGCTGCCAGCGTTTTTAGCTTTAACCGTATAAGCCGTGCCATCCACTTCTTGTTCACGAAAGTCTTGAACGTGGTGTGCTCGTACTTCTATGATGACTACCCGATGCTGGCTCGCGAGGACATGGCTGAGGCTACCGACGAGGCGTGCGGCCGCATGCTGAGTCTGCTTGGCATTCGATATGCCGAGACAGGGGCAGGTTCCAAAGGCTTACCTTTCGATGCTTCTTGCAGTGTCCTAGGACTCAAAATGTGCGTGGAACGGCTCCACCTTGGAAAGCTCTCGATCTCCAACAAGCCGGGAAGGATCGAGCGGCTGGTGGAGATGTTTGGCAAGGTCAAAGCCGAGGGGTCGATGACAAAGCATTTTGGCCAAGTGTTGCTGGGGCTGCTGCGTTTTGCAGCAGGCTCCTGTGTGGGCATGTCGCTAAATCACATTTGCGCTGACTTGAATAGGATAGTTCACGCTGAAGCTTTTCCATCTCCTGAGGAGTTCGCGAAGCTTTGCGATCGGGCTTTGGAGTTTCTTGGCAGTGCTCGTCCACGGGAGGTGGCACTTTCTGATCGTAAGGAGGTGGTACACGTCTTCACTGACGGATCTCTCGAAGGCGATTTTGCTGGCATAGGAGCCGTGTTGATCGACTCGGCCGACGGCTTCACGCGGGTGTTGCAAGGTGAGCTCCCGCCTGAGCTCAAGGACGCATGGCGAAACGAGGCAAACGAGCACTTGATCTGCCAAGTCGAGTTGTATGCAATTTTCTGTGCAAAGCTTGTGTGCAGGGAGCGCTTGGAGGGCAGGAGAGTTGTCTACTGGATAGACAACGAGCCTGCTCGCTTGGCCCTTGTGAAAGGCGTGAGCAAGTCGATGATCATGGATCGCACGTTGCGCGAGCTGTGCCGCTTGGAGGACAACAGAGTCTCTTATGCATGGTACACTCGAGTACCGTCAAAATCAAACATTGCTGACGGACCCTCAAGGGGGAAAGGTGATGAGGTGGCCAGGGCTCTGGGCATTGCGTGTGCAGAGGTGTTCCCGAAGAACATTCCGTGGCAGCACTTGTTATGGGGGCAATCGGGTGCTTAGCACGCAGCGGAATCTCTTTACCGCAATCTGCACTCGTGGAAACACAACCTCTCGAGTCGTGCTTAACACGTCGTGTGCTCGAACTTTCTTTCGAACAGCCCCTTTCGAGTGCTGGAACAAAAGAGTGCCACGTCAGCAGTCACGAGAATATATTCGGGAGCGATTTTTATAGCTGGCTCCAATACATATCATATTCTCGGGCATTTTGCATATCGAGCCCGTAAACTGACCCTTGAATCATTGTGCAATATCCGGTTCTGGAGTTTTGTGGAAGAGGACACCGACGACGAGGAGGAGTTCACGAGACGGAGGGGGTCTTCACGCATGCAGCCTCCCGGGTCATCGGCGGCCCGAGGGTCTTCGAGCAAGAAAGACGACAGCCAAGGCGTGGGCGCCAAGGACTTAAAGAAGGTGCTCATGCAGGGCCTGGCCGAGGGGCAGACGCCGCCTCTCATGATGATGAGCATGCTGTTGGACAAGGACAAGAAGGAGAAGCGGACCAAGCACGGGGGTCGCGACAGCAAGGACCTCAGCCTCTTTGGTGGTTCGGACTCCGAAGATTCGGGAGGCGAAGATGCTTTCCAGGGAACGGGGATGCGAGCAGTATCAACGTTGCACAAGCTCCACGAGCAGATCAGAAGGCGGCCAAGGAAGATATGCGAGATCTTCGAGCACGAGGTGGTGCAGGAGATGGGAGTGATCAAGGGCCAGGCATGGACATTGAAGGATTATGTGAAGAAGCAGCCCTGGGGAAAGTTCAAGGGGATTTATCGATGTGCTTTGATGGATGTCGAGGTCTACGAGCAACTGCGCAATGGCGAGCCCCAGATTGCCGCGGCGCAGGTCGTGCAGAACTTGAAGGCAAAGCTCCAGAGTGTGCTCCAGGGGCGCGACTGGAGCACAGCTTGGCTCCTCACCGGATTGCCCGACCCTCTCGCGAAGCGAGAGTGGGCGGGCAGCAAGGAGGAAATGGCGATCATTTCCGGATATGTGGACGCTCTCCATCGGCTCAAGAAGCGCGTGAAGGACAATCAGACCGTGGTCGAGGACGACGAAGGAGAAGGCCAAGCCGGCCACTCCCGAAAGTGATGGCCCCTCGCCCTTTGCATGAGAAGGCGGGACAATCGCTTCCGCATCCGGTCCTCACGGGCCCAAATTCAAAGTTTTATGATTATCTTTGTTGGTTTGAGGGTGCCCAGGGTATTTTGCCGGAGCGTGGTGCCGGCGCCAACATTCCACTCTTCCCGTGCACGCTACCCTACCCGGAGGCCATCTTGACTGACGGGGTGAGCCTGGACCTTGAGGGTTGCCGTAGGTGGTTTGCCAAAGCCTTCGTTAACACGTTTGTGGCTTGGGGAAACTTTGTGACTCTTGGGTGCCCGGCGGAAGGGGGCAGTGGATACGAGCCGCGGGTAGCTTATTTGTGCCGGGAAGAGGCCCGGGTCATGGCAGATGAGCTTCTTGGCGAGGTGGATGAATTCGTTTCCGAGGATCTGGCTCTAGGTCGTCTCGAGTGTGATGGCAAGCGTGGTTGTATAGAAGCCCTGCTAGAGAAGATCCGCTGTACAGGTGGTGCATGCTACACTGATCTGCCTTCTCAGGTTTCAGGGAAGACGATTTCAACGGCATTGCCGGTATCTGCTACGAGGGTGGCTATGCCGGGACAGGCGGGGCTCGTGGATCCGGGTGATTGGCTTGAACCACATCGTGCTGAAATTTTTCAAGACTTAGCCCGTCTCCGCAAACCCGAGCATCTGTGGGAGGATATCGCGGTGGCTTGCCATCGGGTACCACCAGAGGGGGAAGATGATTTGGCTCGTAAGTTGATTGCACATGGCATGGCGATCGCTGTTCCAGAGCATGAGCTTCCGCATGACAGTCGAGGGCAGCTACATGTAGGTGGCCTTTTCTGTGTTGCGAAAAACGAGCTAGAGGACCGCTTGATCTATGACAGGAGGCCGGAGAACAGCAAGATGCACAAGCTCGCATGGGCGAGGCTACCGAGTGGCGCATGCTTCACCAGAATGCTGTTGGGGGAAGACGAGTACCTCAGGGGATCGGGGGATGATTTGCGCAACTACTACTACATGTTGGCAATACCTCATAATTGGGTGAAGTTTAACTCCGTGGGCCGCCGCATGTCCCGCCAGGTGCTCGACGAGCTCGGTTACGACAGCAAGGTGGACCATCGGTTATGTTTCAGGGTTCTGGGGATGGGCGATATCAACGGGTGTGATATAGCTCAGGCGACCCACGAGAGTATATTGCGGCAGCACGGTGTCCTTGATCGTTCAGTGCAACTGGTGTATGGTGAGCCCGTTCCCAAGGGCCCGCTTTGGGAAGGAGCGTATTTAGATGACCTCCTGATCACATTGCGATGCCGAGTTCCTGGGAGGGTTCCTCTAGATGGCACTTTTCATGCTCCGGCTCCGCAGGCAGGGGATGGCGATGTCAAGCAGGTGGCGGCGGCAGAGCATGCATACACGAAGGCTCGGTTGCAGCGCGCAGAGCATAAAGCCTTTAGGTTCAAAACCTCCTTTAAGGCCTGGGGTGCTCACATCGACGGCATCGTTGGCAAGGTCGGAGTGCCCCTCGAAGTTCGCAGGCAAGTGTGGATGTTATTGTCGAAGATCGTGGCAGGAGGCTGGTGCAACAAGGACGTGCTTCGCCGGGTGCTTGGGTTCCTAGCTTACATCTTCCAGTATCGCCGGGAGCTGTATTGCCTACAACACCACATCTACAAGTATGTGCAGGCTATGCCGGATGAGCGGTGGTGCAGGCTTCCCCGACATGTGCTAGATGAACTTCGATCATTTGCCCTGCACCTCCCCTTTGCGTGCTGGGATATGCGTAGGAAGCTCAACTCTACCTTGATTGCAACGGATGCCACCCCAACTTCGGGAGGTTCGGTTGCTTGCAAGATGCCGGCCGAGCTGGCGCAGGAGCTCTGGCGTCAATCAGAAGTTAGAGGTGAAGCTGTGCGTTTGGACCGCGGCATGGGGCCTGATCTGTCTTGGGATGTCCCGAAGGAAGCTTCTGTCTTCGCGAGCACCATTGCAGAGAGCATGGACTGGCGGGTCACCGGGTCTTATTCGTTTCGGCAGACTTCTCACGTAAACTTACAAGAGCTTCGGGCCCTCAGGCGGGAAATCATCCGGATGGCACGTGCTCCCGAACACCGCAACTCCATCGTCGTGGCCCTTAACGATTCAAGGGTAGTCTGCGGATGTGTGGCAAAGGGGCGCTCGTCGAGTTATAAACTTAATGGGATGTTGCGAGGCCTCTTACCGCACCTGGTGATGGGCAAGATCACGATCTCTATATTGTGGGTGGAGACCTCAAGCAACTATGCCGACCACCCATCCCGTTTCCGTGATCTACCGCCGCCCAGGTCTCCGCCACCCTGGCTCCAGCGCTTTGGGGTTAGCACCTCGGCTAGCTTCTCCGGGGTCGAACTTTCGGCCGGGGGAACATCCATTACACGGGCGCATGTTGAGGCTGGGCTGCAAATGGCACAGCCGGTGGACATTGCCTATGGCGTCGAAGCGCTGGGCCCTTGGATCGACCAGTGCATTGAGACGGGGTTGATTGATTGGGTTTGGCTCGCTCCTTCGTTTGCGGTGCAGTCTCGGCTTCAACAAAGTCGTGAAGGTGGGCGGCAAAGCTGGGCCCGACAAGGGGAGAGGAGATACGACCAGGAGGACTCGATTGATCATCTTTGGTGGCGGCTGCTGAACATCGCTTGGAGCATCATGTCTTCAGGAGGCTTCTTCTTCCTGGTGCACCCGCGGAGCAGCAGAGTTTGGAACTTAGCCGAGACTCAGCAGCTCCTTAATCATGAAGCGGTGAAGGCGCATCGCGTTGATTTGTGTGCACATGGGGGAGAGAGCTCGAGTGGCGGGTCACAGGGGACTAGCACCATCCTCAGCAACTCCCCTTGACTCGGGCAAGTTGTTCGCCAATGCCCTGGCACTCATCGTCATGCTCAGTTATCCCGAAGTGTTCATGCTCAAAATGCCGGTGTGTGACCGGCAGCCGCTGGCCGCTTCATCGATTTCTTCGCATTCTTCTTCTTCGGAGATGCTGCAACTGCATCTTCATCTGCAGTCTCCTTCTGAGATCTAGATGCTGCAACCACATCTTCATCCGGCTGTACCCTGAGTTGAAAACACATGTACATGTTCGCACATGCAAACTTAATTTGCATAGGCACTTCTTTCCACGGCCACGGCCACGGCCACGGCCACGGCCACGGCCACCACCACCACGAGAAGTCTTCTGCTTCTCTTCAAGCACATGGGCTTTTGCCGCATCTCGCCTTAATGCACACACACACACATGGCCCTCCTGTATCGATACCATGCCATATATATTCAAGCAGCATTTTCGATTGCAGCTGCAGCAAGTCGTCGTTGTCAGCACCGTCTGCCAAGGATTGTGCTTGAGGACTGGACCACGAATGCGGCATCTCGACCAGTGGCTTGTGGTCCTCAAGAACATAAGGCTTGCAACATTAAAAAATGGATCTTGGGGCAGCCTCGGAAACTGTCCTGCTCACTGGATCTGCCTTGATCCATTTCGTCATTCTCACTTGGAAGTGCAGGCTCCACATCCTCTCGTAACACAATTGCAAAACAGCACATGTGCATATCGATCGAGAAATGATTCCCAAATTGCTCCTCCAGCTCCAAAGCAGTGAGCTCCTTTGCTGATCCTTTGGCCGTCGGCGCTGCTTCCGGCTCTGCTGATCCTTCGGCCGTCGGCGATGCATCCTGCAACGAAAATCTTAACACTGAGTCGATATAGTACTGGTAGTTTAAGTGCACACGTTAGATCTCCATGCGAGTGAACCATGCTACCAACACATGCAGATATATCTATATATCATCCCAGACCTGGTTTCCCAAAACAGCTGGCTCCGGATCCGTCGATGCTACCTGCCGAGATCCCCCCCCGGCAACAAGACGTAGACGGCCTCAAAGAAAAACAGAGTGCCTCGAAGACTGGCACAGGAGGTCGTGTCTTTTTGTTCCTGGGCTCGATTGGCCCTTCCTCGGGCTCACCTGTCCAGCAGCACGATTATTGTGAGTTTAATTCCAACAGCAAAACATTCTCGCATATTCAATATGTGTACCTCTCGGCAAAGTCTCGGCATCTCCCTCCGACATACCATCGGAGCCGAACCCTGGGATGCATTTTGCTGCGCGCTAGCGGATGCCGCGGCGCGCTGGGAGATTGCGAAACGCAAACCTCACGCCTGAGTACAGGCGTGGGTTACGCGAGGCGGCGCGGTGGTTGCTGGATCTCGCGGTATCGCTTGGTGCTCAGCTCTCTGGTGATTCTCCTCCACAAAAGGTTGATCGTTGGCTCGAGCGTTGCATTGAACACGCTTATGATCGGGGAGAAAAGTTGTACTATGTGAGGCTGGGGCTCATCGGTCTTCAACGTGCTTGGCATCTTTCGGGTCCACTCCTTCGGGGATCATGGTCGGCGATTAGAGGATGGCGAGCTTTGCAGCCAATTCGGTCGCGGATACCCATGTCGAGATCTATCATGAAAGGCGTCATCCTTACTTTATTGATGATGGGGAATGAAGAGAGCGGTTATCTGAGAGAGATCATGTGGGCGGCAATGTTGGCGGTGTGGCTAAGCTTTGAGGGGCTGTTGAGACCAGGGGAAACAGAGCAGTTGTTGGTGCGCGACCTTTGCTTCCCCGACCTACACGGTGGAGGCAGTGAAGGACTTGTAGTTACCATCAGAAAGCCAAAGACGCGCAGATTGTGGCATACACAATTTGTGTTGATCCGGGATCGTGCTCTTATCAGCTGGCTACAGTGGTGGACTGTGGGGATCAGTGCCAATCGTGTTCTTTTCCGGGTTCCCAGACGCCGGTGGGCCAAAGTCGTTGAGCAAGCTCTAACGTGGTTGTTGTTGGAAGACCGGGGCTTCACGTTGGGAAGCTTAAGAGCTGGAGGGGCTACGTGGCACTTCAAAACACACGAAAACCTTGCACGGCTTCAGTTCTTGGGAAGGTGGTCCAGAGCGGAAACACTCAGGCACTACCTCCACGAAGCGCTCACTGTTCAGGTGGAAACGCAAAGTCGGCCCGAAGCTAAAGCTCAGCTGGAGTTTGTTTTGGAGCATGCACGGTTCCTTGAAGCACCGCCTCCCACATCGCTGTTTCGGTTGCTCAGAAAGGAGTGCTAGGATGCCCTACGGTGCAAGAGCAGCAGAAGAACGTCATGGGCAGTTCAGTGGCTTACAGAGACGACCTCCTTGACGATGGGTCCAGGGACCGGCAGGGGCGACTTGGCGCAGCCTAGAGGCGACGCTCCCCAGCGGCCGACTCTGCGGCTCTCTCGTGCATCTTCGGCAAGTGAAAGGCCTGGAGGAGGCCTGAGCTCTTTGCGAAACGGGTCGTCCCGGGAAGCCGATGCCTCAGCGGCAACTATGAAGCCCTTGGAATCGGCTGCTCAAGATATTCTCCGGGTTGTGGAGGATGCAGCTACTCAGATGGGACCTGTTCAAGTAGACGCTGGCCGGACCCCTCAAGAAGTGCTTTCCGACCAAGCTTCAAGAGAGGCGGCGACTCGGTGGCGAGCGGGAAGCGCGCCACGCAGGTTTACAGCTACCCTGGCGCGTCTGGCTACAGCAGTGCAAAGCTGGACTACCTCGGGGCCGAGACCAGAGGCTCCGGGGACGGGTCCTCTTGCACCCGTCCGGCCTCGCCCTCTCCGTGAACCTGCTCACGAGCTCCGCCCAGCCGCCGTGGCCATTTGGGGTCACTGGGCGGCGCGCCTTGCGCGAAATCGTATAAGGACTCTGGTGGTTCTTTTCGTCATCTTGATGTTCCCGCGCCTGCTGGCACTGGTTTTGGCCCTCATCATTCGGCTAATGATGCGGGCGGTGGTGGCGTTAACCTCTCACCTTGTCCGTGAACTCGTGCATCAAACTATGACAGCCGCCGCTGAGCTCGAGGATGTGCTCATGGGCTGGCTGAGCTATCAGATGGGGTCGTCGGTACTCCCCCAACCACAACAAGTGGCAAGTCTCCCGACGGGGGACAATCTTCGTGCAGCTGAAGCTTCGCCTACTGCTGCCCACCCGGCCCGCCCATATGATCTCGTCACGTGGGTGCTCTTGGTCCTCAACTTCCTCCAGAACCGCCAACTTCGGGGGGGTGGGGGACCACAAGGTGCTGCCTAGCTCTTCGCTGTGAACGTTTCGGCCTACCTTCAGGGGCTCCTCGGTGTGTACCTGCAGGGCGGCTTCACTCAGCTCGTGGCTGGCAGCTCGTTGAAGTTTCTTTTCTTGGAAGCCATTGCCAAAGGCCCTGGCTTAGACTAACTCTTTCAGTCACGGTTGGCACCCGCAACCGGTAAAAAGAGAGGGGTCCGAACGTGTGTGCTCTCAACGGCGGCTTGGCAAAGAGGCAGGCGGGAATGAACTCGACATTCCAGCTGCTCTGTCGCTCAGGTGATCGTTCAGTCGGCAGAACTAACAGCTGTGCGGGCCTCGCCGACGTTTCTTTCAAGCTTTTGCCATCCTCCTCCCCGCCACCGACCACAAGGTGCTGCCTAGCTCTTCGCTGTGAACGTTTCGGCCTACCTTCAGGGGCTCCTCGGTGTGTACCTGCAGGGCGGCTTCACTCAGCTCGTGGCTGGCAGCTCGTTGAAGTTTCTTTTCTTGGAAGCCATTGCCAAAGGCCCTGGCTTAGACTAACTCTTTCAGTCACGGTTGGCACCCGCAACCGGTAAAAAGAGAGGGGTCCGAACGTGTGTGCTCTCAACGGCGGCTTGGCAAAGAGGCAGGCGGGAATGAACTCGACATTCCAGCTGCTCTGTCGCTCAGGTGATCGTTCAGTCGGCAGAACTAACAGCTGTGCGGGCCTCGCCGACGTTTCTTTCAAGCTTTTGCCATCCTCCTCCCCGCCACCGACCGCAAGGTGCTGCCTAGCTCTTCGCTGTGAACGTTTCGGCCTACCTTCAGGGGCTCCTCGGTGTGTACCTGCAGGGCGGCTTCACTCAGCTCGTGGCTGGCAGCTCGTTGAAGTTTCTTTTCTTGGAAGCCATTGCCAAAGGCCCTGGCTTAGACTAACTCTTTCAGTCACGGTTGGCGCCCGCAACCGGTAAAAAGAGAGGGGTCCGAACGTGTGTGCTCTCAACGGCGGCTTGGCAAAGAGGCAGGCGGGAATTTTGTTTTCCTGATAAACATTTCTCCTTTTGATTCGATTGATGCCAGCTGATTGAATTATAGTTTACCGTATGGCATCCATGCATTGTTCAGGTCCACGCGGTAACTTTACACAAGTGAAAATAAGCCACCATCGCAGCTTGCCTGCGTACGGTATTATTTTCACGTGGAAAGTTTGATTTTGAAATCTTATTTCAAAATCAACGCTTGGAGTTTTTAAATGTCTCTTACATGTTTTTGTATGCAACTGTTGAGCCATGCGAAGATGCGAAATTCCAGTTGCCGTTGTGCTCTGAGGTAGAGCGCAATTTTTGTTTTCTCCCACCCACCCACCCGGGGGGGAAGCGGGATGTACCGCATTCACTTGGGATGTCCAAGAGTTTTTCCCTAGCTGAGATCATCGACGGATTCCCCATGCCACCGAGGAAAAGTCTTGTGCTGTCGAGTGAGTGCGTTGCGATTTCTTGAGATATGCAATTATGATTAATATACAGATTGGAGAAATTTTGTTTTCCTGACAAACATTTCTCCTTATGATTCGATTGATGCCAGCTGATTGAATTATAGTTTACCGTATGGCATCCATGCATTGTTCAGGTCCACGCGGTAACTTTACACAAGTGAAAATAAGGGGGCAAATCCCTCTCGTCATCTGCTGTATGCAGGAGGTTTCATGTGCACTGTGTGGTCTCGGGCTGTGCGGACCAAAACGAAGTCTTCTTGCGCGTACTGCTGTCGTTCCCTTTGC